ATACTAAACTACACAAGAGTACTCAGAGAGTATGAGCCACTAAGAATGATGAGCCACAAAGAATGAAAGAAAGGAAGGTCAAAGATAAAGGTACAAAGAATGAAGGGATGGACAAAGAGTAAGAGACTATAGAATGAACAAAGAATGAAGGGGTGGTTAAAGGAATGGAATGATGAAGTAAGGAAGGGTAGTAGTAAGAGTCAGCACACATATAGTCCACAGACAGTGCCCCTGAGGGACAGAAGTCCTGAGTTCCAGTACAGAAGGGTGTGGAACCCTTGGAACTGAAGGTATGAGAGTGGAGAATTGTAACAGACTGTAACAAAGGTGAGTTCTTACATGTATATAGACAAGTTCTTATTTCTAACTATAATAAAGATACCTTTGTCCTGTCAGCATTCTGTGTGTGTTAGCAAACCTGGAACTCAATGGAACTTGTTTGCAACAGTGTTCAGCACTTCCCTAATACTGTTCCAATTTTTTCCAAACACTTAGAAAGTTGAACAAACACTATATAACTGTTTAAAAACTAACTTTAAACATTAATAATTGTATCTGAATAAGTTTTAAACTTGCTAGAGCTAATAAAACAAAGTTAATTTTTTCTGACCTAGAAATTTTTGCTGTACAGTCCTTCCAAAAGGAGTATGTGGCTGTGCTGTGACTGATGTGACAGGTTGGTTGAGTTTATGTTTTCCCAACCTTATAATACTTTAGCTTATAATGTAAGGTTATCATAATGTATTCAATGAATTGTAATAATTTATAACACTCTTAGAGTCTTTATGTACATTAATATACCTTATTTTATCCTTATAGTTGTGTTCTAACCCTTACATATGAATTACAATGTATTATAAAATGCTAATATTTCTTTAAATGGACTGTAATTCATTATATTTAAATGGACTTTTTCCCAATGAAATAGGCAGCTATTAAGCCTGAGAAATACCCTGGATGGTCCACTGGAACCTCTCAGACGTTGCTGAAGTGAAGAGAAACGTCAAAAAAGCTCAGTATATTATTTAGGGAATACAACATGGAGGACTTACGCCGTCCACCAGCGCCAATGCAGTGGTCGCCATTGCAGAACGAAGCTTGGTTGCCGTTAAGGCTGACGGTGACGAGAGCGTCGAAATGGTCCTGGGCGAAGTCAGCGTGGAACTCGTTCTTGCCGTTGTCGAATCCAACAGCATGGTTCTCATGCGCCTGGCTGATGAGGATGCCACCTGAGCCTGTCGGGAAGCGGAAGCGTTCGCCCTTGTCGTGGTTTGCGTCAACTTGTTCAACACTATGAAACCGGGTGTCACTACTAACTAGAGCTCTGGAATCAAAAGGTGAACAGGACCAACCTGGACTGGGCCGTAGTTTCGATCAAGGCATTGTTTGAGTCAAGGAATTGGAAGCCGCCATTGTTCACGAAGACTGCGTTCCACTGCAGAGTGCATTCATGTCAGAGATCGGCACATCTGCATCTACCAGTATGTCGTTGAAGACGCGAACATACCTCCTGAGCCTGGACAGCAGAGAAAAAGCACGCGACAGCAACTGCAGCAACAGACAGGAAGTGCATGATGAACAATCAGTATTAGTCTAGTACTTGGTTTTATAGGATGTAGCGAGGTGCGAGAAGTTAGAACAGTAGAAAGCTGGGTAACTGATGAATATCTGCAGAAAACATGCCTGTATTTATACCGTTGTAAGGAGCCTTGTGTCTTGTAGAAGACCAAGGGAAATGCGCCTCTACCCGCCAAATTCTGCTTACGGCACTGTCTTCATCTCAGGAGACTGCGGTTACTAGCGCCTCTGGGGAGTCTGAGCGCGCCGTATCCTGGCATCAGAAAAGCATAGCTTGCTGGATTGTTTTCCCACCCAACTCGTTCGTATTCTGTATCAGTCCTGAAGTAGAGAGACCCAGATTCTCGGTAGTCCAGTTCAGATTGCATCAAGTGTTTGAGCCCCTTTCTTTGTGTTGACATCATCTCCACAGTTGATTTATTGGATATAGCTTACTATAAGCAGCATTGCTTGTTTTGGTGTTGCCTTCCTTTTTCACTTAGACCATCAACCTGATCATTGATGGTATTGGCATATGCCAGTCTTCTATTACCGGGCTGAAGAGACTCTGTGAGTTTTATAGAACTGTTCTATGTCCCTGGGTTGCTACTCACTCTTTATTCATTACAAAAGAAATTTGCACAGGTAGTTGTAATTAATAATAATAAACAAGAACGATAGACAAGAGAACAAATCTCGTATTATTGGACTGAAATATATGTACATCCAGGTACTCTGAAGGCTGTGTATGCCACGAGATTGCTTGAGTCGATGTGAGTATCCGCTGCACAGAGCTACGTAGTTTAATATACGTCATGATACTTCATCAGTATACGCAAACCAAAGCCTGCGCAGAGCGGTTCAGAACGACTCGAGCGCCTTGCATCCTAGTGCAGGATTAAATGTATTGATTCGGAGAATATTAATGTACCTCCTTTGTAGCTGCTCTGGAACTCACAATTAAGAAATATACTTTTCCCATATTGCAGAGTGTACCTTGCTGTGCACAGTAGTGCTCCGCACCGTAGCGTAATTTACAGATACGCCTGCAGCATATACACTTATGCACTGTATTGTAAGAGAAAATTTTAGCTGAAAATACAGGCGTATATTTACGCGTGTATGCATATACCATAAGTAAAAAATTTCCGTATACACTGTATACGAGTAGTGATACGCACGGTCAGGTCGTGACCTGTTTTGACCCTGACCTGACCCCGACCTGACCCATTTTGACCTGACCCAGTATGCTAGGTCAGGCCAGGTCAAATTTGGGTCAGGTCATGGGTCAGCCTTCTCCCAAATTTTCCTGACCCACTTTGACCCGACCTGACCTTGACCTGACCTGTAACCTATATGTAAATAATGTTATTAAAATACACTTATTTATAATAGACAAATATAATATATTAAGGTACATTTGATATAATATCAGAGGATTGTAACTGAAAATCAAGCTAATAGCAGAAATATACTTTCCTTACAATTAGAGATCTATATTTTAAGGAACTTCTATTAGACTTCAAGTATATATTCTGTCTGAATGACATGAACACATTTAAGTATAAGTTGATGGCAGATGCCAGAATAGAGGTCTGGGACGAAATCATGGATTGGCTTTTATCAGAAGCAGAACAAAGTATCCTATTTGTACAGTGTAGTAGGGTCCAGAAAGAGTACAGTCATGACAACCATTGTAGAGTACTGTTGTGAGATACTATACCTTAGTACATACTAGTTTTCAATTGAGTAGATGATGCTGACTCTGCTGAGGATCAGCTCACCTCTATCTTCCAGAAGATAGTATTCCAGCTGGCCTTGTTCGATTCGTCTATTGCAAAGTACATTAAGGCTGCTATTCAGAGAAGTGATTGTATTGTAGAGGCTGTTGCTGAGG